CAGGAGGACATTTGTATGGTAGGCATGGAGATGGTATCGCTGACAATTGACATGGGCCAAAGCATGTTTTTTGGCAAGAAGGTAAGAAATATGCCCGAGTTGGTCAAATGAGAATCAAATATGGCACCTAACGACTAATTGTAATAATCGAACCTTAATTGGAAATCCTTAATGATATTATGTTCAATATTTCCGTTCCACTGTTGGAACGGAAGATGTTGTTGGTACTGCGGTTGGTACGGATGCAAGACCAGGTAAGAACGCCCGTCGGTGGTCATTGTTTTCTCCATTTTCCAGTCATGTGGAAACTACCTCGAAAAGTAAGTGTCGATGTTCGTCGTCCGACAATTGCTTCCATCCATAATTTTCGAAAAGAGTAAGATATTTATTCTGTAGAACAAAGCGTGAGTGGCAGCTTCCTGTATAGATACAAAAGGAATACAAAGGTGTTCAACACAATGGAACATCGCACATCGATCGGGAAAGGTGGGCCTCCGACGCGGCGTGGGGAGGTGCAGATGAATTGAGTGAAGAGTGAAAAAAGCGCCTCATTCTAACCTACTTGCTTTACAGGGACAGGCAGCCCGGTTACGTCTCCACATCGGTAAGGGTTCCATTGAGTATTGCTAGGCGTGCGTATTCAGGTTAACTCGCTGTTCTTTCATGATTCCTCTTTTAGTGGTCCGATATTTCCCCTTTTTTCGAGTTGTACCTCACAATCATTGCGACATGAGACACCAATGTGAGTGGATTGTATTTCATGCATGCATAGATACAATAGTAGTATGTGTATACATACGTCAGAGTTTTAATGAAAACGTTAGCTATTAAAGGGCAAAAAGGAGGATTTTATAGTTAAGACTCCTAGACCTTGAGGATATGACTGTTTGTTGAATTCAAAAAGGTTTCCATGAACCTAATGTGTTTCCCATTTCATCAAACTTTCTAGATTTTCATTGTATTTATTTGTTACATGGAACCAATTGCCATATGAATAGGATAAACTCACTCACAGTGGCAAGTGATCATATCAAGGTTCTTCATATATTATACACTCCATAGTTAGTGTTGAAAAGGGCATTAGGAAGCCCTAATTTTCCCAGCAAGTCCCCACAAATGGGTTCTTGGAAACATTTTCTTTTCAATTGAAATATTATTTTTTGGTGTGGAATTCATGAATTCATAATGTACCTCATCTGAAGTACTGTGTACACTATAATAAGTGGCTGATGATTACGCAATTTTGTTCAGATGTTCAGAAATTGTTTCATGCAGTGATGCATTTGTACGCGGTGTGTAGCTTGTCCTGACATGGAAATGAGAGATGTTGCCTAAACCTGTTGAAATTCCTTCATGAGACCTCATTCGCTTGGAAAAAACTTAGACCAACTTAGAGTACACTTGCAAAGTTTCCTGCTGATTTTGACCCAACCGTTGCAAATTTTGGAACACGTATAATTACAGAAGCCAATGGCGCGCGAAATGGATGCAGAGAGGAACCAGGGAAAACCAGCAGAATATGGTGTACGAACTATAAAATGTGTTATAGTTTCATGAAGGGAAATTCTTAAACGTTGTTGACTACCGCAATGAAGTTTGTAACAAAGTCAGTCTTATCCTAACGGTTTTGTAAATAGATCAAAACTCTTCTTGAATGTACCTTTTAATTATTTGCATTTGGGATCGATTGACCACTTGTTATGTTGACGAAACGGAAAGTGCCACTTCGCTCAGGCAATTAGGGTAAGTCCACGAGACACACATAGGTTGGGGCACACATAGGCTGCCCCAGCTTTACTTGACTACATTTAATTTCTAGTGTCATTCCCTTTCACCACTTAACTCAGTAACTATCATTCTCCATTTCGCATCCTTGATTCTGAAGAATAAGCGTCTTCCTTTCCACAGTACCAGAGCTTCACGGAGCACAGTGATATACAATTTCTATTGTTCCTCATTAATAACTTTGTAAAGTCTAATCCAAAATTTTGCCGCGCGATTCACTAGGGCGCGCTTTAGAATCCAAAGGCAAAGAAATCATTGGATCATTAAAATCATTTACGTGCTCTGTTATTGGCAGTAAATAGACTGGATTTCTTCCTGACAGAAAGGTACGACTAAGTTTAGTCAAGGGACACAGGTGCCTTTGCTAATGAATAAAATACAACTTTAGATAATACCTCATTATCTCGTGTCCTCACCCGTAACGATACATATTGTCTGGAAATAAAAAAACAGCTCTCTTTTGCCGTAGGACCATTTCATAAATGTTCTTGTGTGCTGAAATTCCATACCCAAGCTTGAGTAACGAAGCTGAAAGGAGTATGACCGCTTTCGGCCCTTAAAATATATGCATAAAAGATACGCGTATATTTCGAAAGGACGTCCTTAGCCAAGCATTGAAAAGGATTTTTTTTTCTAATTGAGCAATTGGAAAAAGTTAGGTTAGGTTAAGGTTAGCTCATAGCAACGTCAGAGCAACGTCACTGCAAAAGTCACGCTCTTCGTCTTCGGGTACATCAGCAAAACTTCATTGTCTTGCTACTTTGTCAGAAGTTCCGAAGTGTTAGTGTCCAAGGAAAGACTCCACAAATTTTCCAGGTCCTATTGCGACTCCCAGTCACAGCTTCTGCAGCTTTCTTCACTGGGAGGCAACATTTATTAAAAGAAAAGCCGTCAGAGTGTCGTGTCCTACCATGTGGTAATGCACATTGACCAGATAAAATCATCTCCCTGTTACCAGAGGGCCATTGCATAATTTTTTCATGTGTGCTGAACTTGCTTTTCTGCGCTTGAGCTATCAAGTTGGAATTTTGAGGCTTCATCTCGATTTTGGAGGCACGTCGAATCCATAATAGGATGGAGACCATAAGAATTCATTAATAATACAAAAAGGAATTTAAATTTCTATAATTAAATGCTTCAATTCCTAGTGTGGTGAACATGGAAGAGAGACCAAGCAATTATGACCTTCGGAGCCTCGGTCGTCCTAAAAATTTCCATTCCAGCGAAAAATTAATAGTCCCAATGTTTCCCACCCGCCAACTGCTTCCATTAATCATGTTTGAGATGTGGAGGGCATTTATTCCATGGAACAAGGCGTGTTCGTTTACATTCCCTGGATGAAGGCACGGAGTGGAGTGGAACGCTAATACTGTCAACTCACTAGGGCATCGGACATCGATTGGGAATGGTGGACCTCGGACGAGGTGTTGGGAAATGAAGATGAATTGAGTGAAGAGGAAAAAAGATAAACCCATTGTGACACACTTGCATTGCTGGGACAGGGACCCTGTCCCTGTCTTTGCTAGAAGACTTTGTCCAGTTTTTTGGATTCCAATAGAGCTTGGCTAAAAATATCACTCCAAATACCATCTTCTCTGACTGATCTTTTGGGTAGTAGTTCTTCAGGGGCACAAAGACTTCCCACTCCTCTCCAAGTGCACTGAGGAAGACCTTCAAAGTCATTTCCCGACTCCAGTGAGTGATCCAAGACTCGGCTTGTCAAAGAAATCAAGGAAAGCTGTGACCAGGAAGCCGTAGGGCTTGCTGCTGCACGTTCTCGAAAAGCGAAAAAAAAATTAAAATCAAGCATACATTGTGGAGAAAGCTACCCAAACAACCCCAACTCGAACGGATAAAACGAGATATATCTTTGCATCGACTAGAACAGTCCATCCGTATTTCCCAGACGGGATCTTGTGATGGGATATTGTGAGGGGGTAAACGTCAGAATTACAGAAAGAGTGCATCCCGTTACATGGTACATAATTATAATTTTAAAACCCTTAAAAGTGCGACGGTCAATTTTTCATGTTCACAGCGCAAACGGCTAACAATTAGTATATGACATATATTATTATCCGCTTAAGAGTACATAAGTCCCACTTACATTCCCAAAAGTCAATTGAACGTATCAAAATTTTCCTGCTAACATTTTTCTAGGAATGTGTCTCAATCTCAGGGTTCTAGAGGTTACATATTCATACATGCCAACATGGACAAATGAGAAAATGACTGAGACTCCAATGCTTCAGGAGTCCCAAGTAACAAGTCAACATTAAGAATGAGAGAAAAAAATTACGCTCCTCAGAAGTACTAACACAGACGGCAAAAACGTTCTCATCACACAGGTCCGACTTTAAGAAAGAGATAGAATCGACACAATATCGATGTGGCCTTGATCCTGACTTGGGGATTCTGTAATACTGACAAATAGAGAGCTGTCTATTTCCTGTCCTTTCTCTGCGAACGTGTCTCCGTCTCATTTTTGCAACCGCCGATCTAAGATGAGCTCCAAAGATCCACAGAAAATGAAAAGAAGCATAACTCTAACCATTCTCGTCTATTCCTTCGCAGTGCTCCTCACTGCACTTCAGGTGAGACTCCCATTCTGTACACTGGCGAGTACCTTGTCCTGACTGTATTAAACCTAACAGGCGCGGCAGTACTTGGAGCGATACCAAAGTAAGCCGACGTCGACTACCTATCGGTTAGACGAACGACAGGATTTTCCGGCACCCAAAATCACTGTCTGTCCAACGCCATCGTTCAAGAAAAGTGAAACGGAACTGGAATCTTTCTATAAGTCCAACTTCTCCACTTTCGTCGAACGTTTTCGATTCCTTCCAAACGAGGCAATTAAACGATGCAAATTGGATATGACTTTGGATTGCTACCCACTTCCAGGATCAAGTTCGAGTGACGTCTTCCAAAGCGAAGGCAAGTCAGAAATCTCAGAATTCGCGAAAAAATTATATACTGATTTATGATAGTTTTGGGACTGTATGGGTGATTTGGTCCATGATAGCGTTACATATCAAGACCTGAGTGTTCATGTCAAATAAAATAGTTCATGGCCATTTTAAGGATAAATATATCTGTGGGAACCTAAATTCATATTTTTGTACGTCTCATCTAAAAATCTAGGAGTATCATACGATTCGTAGGGAGAGCATTTTACTGATGAGCGTTATATTAAACTACTTCTCTTGGAGCAGTTGGGGAATGGCGATCCACATTATTCATCAACGCGGGAGGAGATAATTCAAAGAATTACGAATTGAGCCTATGTTACACATTGCATCCCAATGCGGCAATAGGATTCGGAGGGGAAAACTCCGGCTATTTTCTCCAATTCGAAAGCCCCCAATTGCCCCAAACCATTGACAGAGTGTTCTGGGAAGTAAACATCCATCGAGACCTAGAATGGGCAGCCATGTACCTTATGTCGTCTTATACACCAATCAGAGTGAAGCCAGGTACGCATAACTACGTGATCCTCTCAGCCAAAGATGTGAATCAACTCAGCACTCAGACCTATCCCTGCGAGTCCATGGACGGATACAGCAGAGACAAGGTAAGAAATGGGTTACATCACATGACTTTTTAGAACTATTTCTTACATTATTTCTTAACTTCCTTCGTGTAGTGCATGGACACATGCCTATCGGAATGGATCCTCCCTCAATTGCCGTGTCGACTTCCGTCGATGAACGTATCTTTGCCGGTGTGTGATAACATGGGCGAAATCGTGAATCATACACGCACCTATCACCTTTTGTCGACAAAGGTGAGCCAGTCTAATTTGAATTGCTCCTGCCCGCCACCCTGCAATCGTCTCCGCTACACAGTGGAAGTGTCGCCTCCGAGTGACGCTTTCGACAATAATGGCTATGTCTGGATCTATTTCTCTGAGGATATCCTCGAAGTTCTGGTCGAGAAAGAGGCCTACGATCTCATCCAGGCGGTGGGGGAATTCGGGGGTTGCCTTGGTATGTTCCTTGGCATCTCCCTCGTCTCCTTATACGAGTCACTCGACCGAGTTATCCGATTCTTTGTCGCAAAACGTATTGGCATTGAATGATGATCTGTTTGGAAGATTCCGACTTGGACTTCGAAAATTTTGAAAGCTTTCGATGCACCTTGCTATGGCTCCACAAGTGCAAGAGTTTTTAATTCACATCGTGAACTGTGTTATGATTTTGCCTTTGCATTATTTCTCATGGAAGACGAGCA